TAAAGAGACTGGGTCGAATGGGCCCTAACAGCCTCTCATGTGATATCCTTTATTTTATCTTTTATTTTATGTTGATGGGCCTGTTATTTGTTCTTATTTTACTTTCTTTATGTAACTGCCATGCTGGCCGCCCACTTAAGGGTATACTTGTCATCATAAATTTTTTAGAGATTAATAAAAAATAGGGTTAGAGGAGAAGGGTGATTATTCGACTTCTTCTTCTCTTACCTCTTCTCTTCGCCATCTTCCTCTTTTATACAGTTATTCAGATATGTTCTATTATGCTAATCACTAAATTTAATCTTGATATTAGAGGACTGATTTACATCTATGTTGTTTGCTTGGACCCTCCTTTTGTAGACTCTTGTATTTGGAAGCCATTACCTTCGGGTTCCTTTTCTTGTGCCTCCTTCTTTGCTTCCTTGTGCTCCTCTCCATTGCCTCAACCTTTTCATAACAAGGAAGTTTGGTCCAAACCTGTCCCTTCTAAAGTTGGAGCCCTTTATTGGGAAGTCTCCCTTAGGAAAATCAACACTTTGGATGTTTTGCAAAAAAGAAGACCTAGTCTTTGTATCTCTCCTAACTTGGTGCACCCTATGCAAAGCTAACGAGGAAAGTTGCTACCATATACTAATCACTTGCCCTTTTATTGTAGGCCTTTGGGAAAAGCTTTTTGATCTTTTTGGGTGCAGGTGGACAGAACCAGTGCCGATTTGCAATCTTTTTGATCCTACAACTTTCAGGTGGCCAAAGAGAAGAGGAAGAGTTTTGTGGAGGTGTGTTAGAGCTGCTTTGGTGTGGACTGTGTGGGAGGAACGAAATGCTAGAATCTTTAATGACAAGGAGAGGGATCAAACATGCGTGTTAGAAAGTATCTTATGTAGGGCCATAAGTTTGGTAAAATCCTTGGATCTGTTTTCCACCTACACTTTCGACGACATAAGGAGAAATTGGGAACAACTAGCTAAAAGTTACGCAATCAGAAGCAAGCCGGTGGTGGATTGGAAGCCTCCTGATGCAGGCGTCATTAAACTAAATTTTGATGGCAGTAGTTTGGGCAACTTGGGGCCATCTGGAATAGGGGGAGTCTTCAGAAATGATAAGGGTCAGATTGTAGCTCTATTTTCTGGTCCTATAGGGTGGGGAGACTCTGTWAATGCARAACTCCAAGCTGTGTTACAAGGAGCAGAATATGCAAGAGAGTTGGCAGTGGAACATTTAATGATTGAAGGTGATTCCAAATTGGTTATTGGATGGCTAAAAGAACCAGAGATGGCAGCCTGGCCGTACAGGGGGCTTTGAGAAGATTTAAGTGGCTGACTTCAAATATTTCAGTCACAGTTCAATGGGAAAGAAGATCGGCAAATGGGCTGGCAGACCTTCTAGCTAAACAAGGAGTACATAGGAATTACCTCTTTTGGGCTCAATTGTAAGCTTTATGATGTAATTTGGAGGCTGCACCTTGCGCCTCTTTGTAGGGAATTGCATGATGAATACTTAGTTCTTTATTTAATAAAATTTTCATTATCATTTTCTATAAAAAAAAAAAACTAATATAAGAAGAAATGCAGTGGGTGGGACTATTATGGACATCCATTTGGAAGACAAAGGGGATGAAAAGGAAAAGAAGAATGAGAAAAAGGGAAATAGGGGTTGGAACCTCTGTTTTTCTGAGAAAGAAAGAAAGAAATGGAATGGAGAGAGGGCCCCTGTTTTGGTGAAGGAAAAAGAGAAAGATACAATGTGGGTGGAGTCCATATTTTGGTTAAGAAAGAAGAATGAATATAGGTGGAACCCTTAAATAATGAAAAATAAAGAATGAATATGGATAGCATTCTTTTAATGTTCGTAATTGATAAAGGTTACAAAGTTATATCTATCAGAAGTTGGCTTTATCAAATTGGAGCTTTGATTCTGATCTCTGTTTGCTCAATATTTTTTTGCTTCCTTTCTGATTTTGTGATGTGTAATATCATGTTTCGTTATTATCATGCCCTCTCATATGGGTTCAAGTCCTTATAGTTCATTTTCATTTAGTAATAAAGCTATAAGATAATTAGTCCTCTTTTTTTTCAGTTTGCAATGTGTTCATTTCTGTAAGAAAAGAAAACAGTATGCTTACTCCATGTTGTTAACATTATTCCCTTCACAATACTAATGGATTTCATTGTCCTAGGCAAGAATAACTAGTATATGAATATATTTCTTTTTGTAATGGGCCTAATGGCATAAAAGTTCACTCTCATGTACTCTTCTCTTATTTGTTTCATACAACCTGACTGCAAGAGCTGGTGTTAGTTTTTGGTGGTTTATTTGTACAATTTGATCTTAACACTGTTTATTGAACCAGGAGGAAGATTCTTTTCTGAATTATTAAGCTAAATACTTTGTTAACATTGCCAGGCTTGGGATTGTCCACAGCCTCATCCCAAAGCCAAACCGACATAAGATTGTATTGGTATTTTTCAGCCTAAAGGGTTCTAAAATGATAGTCAAACTGACGTCAAGGATTTAGTTGGATTTGTCAGGTTTAGGTTTGTGCATGGCTCACATTGTACTCTCCATAAAGTATTACTCAAATATTTCCTACAACTGATGACATTGATTGTCCCAAATGAAAGTCACATGGGGTTGGGATGTTATGTCTGGAATGAACCTGTTTAGGGGATGGTAGCTGTCCTATTTACAATCCTTTCTTTGGTCCAACTGGAAGGTTGTAACAGATAAGCTTCTTATTCTTTGGGCAGGTTGATTTAAAAGTTAATTTTAACCAGGTTATGTTCCTCCCATCTTGTGCCATGATTGTTATTCTATGAATAGTACTGTCTTTGCTGGAAGATTGTGGTAGGTTCAGGTTTTATCTTGTTTCATTTTCCAGTCTAATAATGATTAACTATTATGTAGTTGGTTCTTTGAGTAAACTAATATTTTGTTTTAATATTATCCTCTTTATGCATTTATCCGTCTTCTTTGTTGTCTTCGACAGCTTGCAGAGATTGTAAACCAAGGCAAGTTAGTGTCTGACGAAATTATAATAAGATTATTGTCTCAAAGGCTTGAAGCTGGAGAAGCAAAGGGTGAATCAGGATTTATTCTTGATGGTTTTCCAAGAACAATAAGACAAGCGGTGAGCACTATTATGATGATATTCAATAATCACTTTAAATATTGGTGGAGTACTTGTAAGATAAATAATCTTCATAAGAACAATATTGTTGGAGTATTTTTGTTTGTTCTCTAGACTAAAGCATGTTATTGGGTTTGTTTTAGGATAAAAGATGTGAGGTAATTAAAATGCTCATAATTTGATGCTTTCCATCTATGTGTACTCTAGGCCAAATTCAACTTTTATGGAGTAACAAACTTGATTGAATGACCTGAACAGATTACCTAGCCCCCGGGGTTGGGTGGTCATGCAATTATATTTTCTTTATTTTCTTTATTCTATTTGTAGGAAATATTGGAAGAAGTGACCGATATTGACTTGGTGATTAACCTAAAGCTTCGTGAAGATGTATTGCTTGAGAAATGCCTAGGAAGAAGGATTTGCAGCCAGTGTGGAGGAAACTTCAATGTTGCCTCCATTGACATCAAGGGTGAGAATGGGAGCCCTGGGATGTACATGGCTCCACTTCTTCCACCTCCAAGGTGTGCATCGAAGCTCATCACTCGATCTGATGATACAGAAGAAGTTGTAAAAGAGCGGCTCCGTGTATACAATGAAATGGTATGTTCTATATTGACAGAATACTGTCTTTTTCTATTATTGTTATTATGGAACTATACCTTAGCTTGAATTATATAATTTAAGATATTATATGAAAACAAACCCATGGGTGTGAAAGTAATCTGTTTTGCCATATCTTAGTACCAAGGCTTATTGATGCAGGAGCATGTGGGGCCCATGTATGACCCAACTCAGCAGTTGGTTGTTAGTGTCATAGTCTTTTATTTTTAAGTTGTCATGTGAGTCACTTAAGTAGGGGTATTTTGGTCAAATTGGGTGTAGGGCGTCACTTTACTTGGAGAGGCAACTATAAGCCTTGTCTTGTTTGTAGAGGGATCTTTTACTGTAATCAAAACCCTAAAGGCATATACTATCCACTGAAGTAGTGATTTCAGCCCTAAAGAGCGGGGTGTTCTTCATTTCAACTTCAATTTGTGCTGTCTCACCTCAAGTTTTGTCACCATGGCAGTGGGCCATGGGCTTTAGCTCATTTTTTGACTGAAGCAAGGGATATCCTTCTCAAACTAAATGCACAGCTGGGTTGGATCCCTAGGGAGCTAAACACTGATGCGGATGGTCTAGCTAAAGCTGGTGTTCACAGGGATGTCTTTTTCAGTGATAGTTCTCTTCCTACTTAACTCTTGAGTTGTAATTTCTGTGTATATCTTCTTATGTACCCTCTTTTTCTTTAATAAAGTTACCATCTTTTTCAAAAAAAGTTTTTATCACATTTTGTTGTTGTTTTCTTTTGGTTTGATATTTTTGTTGCATCACTGTTCCATCATATACTTTTACCTAATTTGGTTCAAATCTCAAGTTTGGTTTTGTTTGGAGCATGTTTACACATTATTTGATTCATTTATAGGAAAAGAAGTAAAAGGAAAGTGCAAAAGTAAAGCAAATCCTAAAATCTATTTTTTTTCTTGGACGTTGAGTAGTTTAATGCTATAGGCATTGGGGAGTTATTGCATATGGTATTGTTAGTGGCAACTAAGGGGTATGCTTTTATGTTCTACAAATGATTTTAACCTTTTTAAAGGGCAAAATGATCTCAACTTAGCTAAGGTTGAATCAATGAACTATTACTTTAGGTAATACTAAGGTGACATTATTTTGATGTTTGTGGGTTTCATATAGAAACCCTAGAGTAGGTTTGAGGGTGGTTTCAATTCAAGTCTTGGTTATTGTAGAGAACACTGATGTGGGCCCCACGGCTGTCTTTGCCCACAAGTAATTTCGGCTGATATGTGGCTGCATCAAGTTGCACAGTCATGTCATAACCAAGTAGTTCTCCTAAACCCACTTGGTATACATTGGGTCCTCCTTGGAAGTCTCTTTCACATTTCCCAATAGATAGCTAAGTTTTCCCCTTCCCCCAATAGCCATCATGGCTGATTGGGCCCATTCCAAGTAATTGGATCCATCAAATCTCACAGTTGTAATCAGAAACGCAGTCTCAGACATACTACTAGAACTGCTGTTCCCAAACACCTTCTCCCTGATTTTTGAACTCCATTCTTGGTCAAGAATCAATAGTTAAGAACTATTAGGGTTTCCACACTAGAAAACAGCACTGAAGCAATCGATCACAATCAGAAAACTGTATGAAATCAGTTCAGATTTGATCTGAAACCAATCGGCAATCAGAATATATGCAGTCTGATAACAGTTCTCACTCTCAAAACAGGCTCAGAAGCCAAAACCAGGTCTGAAACTCACTTAGAAGGCACTCTGTAGAGCTGAGGCAGAATTAGGGTTTCAATCGTAGGGTTAGGAAGACTCTTGTGAGAACATAAACAGTGATCAGCCGCACTTTCCAAGAGAATTCACAGTCAAGTCTAGCCGTAGGGTTAATGACAAACCCTAAAAAAAAAACTGATCACCTTTGAGAGAAAATAGGAGGGTTCGGCTGCTCTCCTCCTAAATAGGTCCAACCTATCTTGACTGACAGCAATCTCAAGGGAAAAATAA